GGCCACAGTCGGAGCTGGCGCAGGGCCGCAATCGGGGCGAGGGTCACAGCTGGAGCTGGAGCCTGTGTCGGAGATGGCGTCGACACCAGTTCCGATCTCCGTTCTGGCTGTCCACTCCTGGTTCGGTTTGGATGGCACACCGGCTCCGACGGTGGATCCGCCTCGACCGCAGCAATTTCTGAGAGTGTCTGCGTGAGCGTGCTTCCCACCCCCCTTCTCCCCCTTCCCCCCTCTCTTCGTCTTTCCCCCCTAACTGTTGCATTGCGTGGTGCTGTTGCTCTTCATCATCCCTCGATGTCTCGCCCCATTCTTGGGGACAGCGTCCCCCGCCTTGGAAGCTTCAGGCCGACTTGGGGCCGATCGGGCGCGCTTTGGGTGCTTCTTGGAAGCAAACACTACGGACAGATAGACAAAACAATTGATCCCAACAATTGTGGATACGAGTGAGGGGATGCCCGCACCGCGTTGCGGGGGCTCGAGGGCCAATCGTCCACGGGCGAACATCCCTTCGAAGCAAGCAGCCCGTCTCTGCACCGATGTTTGAAACACAGCTGGGCCGCCGCAGGTGGCATGTATCCAAATCGATATGGATTGGTCGCGGTTTCGGTCGTGCCTCGGTCGCGGTTGGGTCGCAGATGGGTCGTAGGGCGGGTACAAGTGGGCGGGCCGTTGGGCGGGCGACGACAACAAAACAAAAGCAATGGCAGTCCGCACCGTGGAATTTCACTTCAGCCAAGCAGCCAGGCTGAACCGCAAGAACGTCCACCCTCTCACTCTGATTTGACCGTGTAGCTTCTTTTGTTCGCTTGCGCTTTCAGAAAAGTCTCGAGACGCTCTGTGCCACCTCATCGGCATCTGTGGAGTTGTGTTTCGCCCTTGGGGCATCTTAGGAGGATTGGCACTGTCTTGGGCTCCTGGTCCTCGAGGACTCTCGGCGCCGTAGTGCAAAGCTGACAAATCGAGTAAGCACATACCGACAAAGTGATCGAACCTCCAGGTGGTCACGTCGAACAGAAAAATAACAAATATCCTGGCGAGCGGCCCAACCATGTGCAGTTGTGAGTCAGGCAGTTGTGGGTATCGACCTCGGTTAACCTCGCTGGGGTCACGACGCGTGTGACGGGTGTGCCAAATTGACACGGGTACGCCATGCGGACGCTGCCACCGGAGCCGTCGGTGGAGCCCCATGTGAGGCAACGGAACGTGTGAGGGGAGCGCCCGAATGCTGGGTGGAACCGCGTGCGGGCGCTGCCACTACTAGGGCCTTCGGTGGAGCTCCCTATGGGGCCACGAAACGTGTAAGGGCTGCGCCGAAATGGAGGTGGAACTGCATGCGGACCCTGCCACTGGTGCCTTCGGTGGGGCACCCTGTGGGTCCATGAAACGGGTGAGGGGTGCGCCGGATTGGGGGTAGAATTACATGCGGACCCTGCCACTGGGGCCTTGGGCGGAGCGCCCTATGGGGCCACGAAACGTGCGAGGGGTGCGCCGAAATGGAGGTGGAACTGCATGCGGGCCCTGCCACTGGGACCTTCGGCGGAGCACCCCACGGGGCCACGAAACCTGCGAAGTGCGCCGACATGGAGGTGGAACTGTATGCGGATCCTGCCACTGAGCCCTTCGGTGGAGCTCCCTATGGGGCCACGAAACATGCCGAAATGGTGGACATGCGGAGAGCAGAGGCAGGGATGGGAGGAGGAAGGATGGGAGAGGAGGAGGAGGAGGAGAGGAGGAGGAGGAGGAGGAGGAGGAGGAGGAGGAGGAGGAGGGAGGGAAGGAGGGAGTGAGAGAACGCGGGGACCGTCTCTTCAAAACGAGGACCCAGAGCCACAGGATGGTTGGGAATTAAAAAGGAGGCCGTCGTGGAGGCCCCTTGGGCCCGCCTGGCCGCCCAGTGGAGCCCCCCCCCTGGAGTCCTGGGGGCAGCCTCTGGGGCGGCGGGGGGGCCGAGGGGCCCCGCGGGCAGGCCCTTTTTGTTCGCGCCGCGGGCCCCCGTGGCAGGCAGCCGCAGGGAGGCAGGACTGGCGACTGGGGAGCCAAGCGACTTGGGCGTCGCGTGCGGGTCGGGTGTTGCCAAAAGTGCGCCTGGGCCATGGTGCCCCCCCAGGATTTCCAGGGAGGCCCCCACGGCCTCCAGACCACTTCTTACGGGGCTCAGGAGGCCCCAGGGGCTTCGGCATTGAGCGAAAAGCTGGGGGCACCCTGGGCCAGGGGCACCTTCAGCAACCCCCTGAAGGGGGGGGAGAGGGGGGGGCAGCGAGGGCTGCAGAACAGGAGCTCTTTAGGGCCCCCCTGCAGCGGCCCTCTGGGGCCCCGGAGGGGGCCTTTGGGGCCCGAGGAGTGCACCTTTCTCCAAGGGAGGAAAAACCACCCGGACGTGACCCGACAATCGGCGTTTACTAAACGGCCCTCGGCGTTGACTAAACAGCCGTGCCCTATTTGATTCCTTCTTTGGGCGCGTTTGCTAAGCGACTTCGCGTGTCGGGGTGGTTATCATGGGGGTGGGTTTTTTTGACTTCTCTTTCTCTTCCCCCCCTGTAACGCCCCCCCTATCAAGCGACGCCCAGGAGTTGGGGTGCAACCCAAGTAGACCTGGCAGTTTGGTCAGTGATTCTCCTCGCTCCTCGTCGCGGGGGCCGCTCGAGCGCGCGAGGATCCTGCGCCTCGCGCCTCGTGCGGCGCGGAGCGCGAAGGGCGAAGTTCGGCGCGGCCTGCTGCAGTGAGGCTCGCGCCGCGTTGGCGCGGTGGCGACCCCTGCGCGGGCGTCCGCTGCGGAGCGCCGCCGGTGGCCCAGGACCAGCCGGCATCGAGCGACCTGCGCCATCGGAAGGACGCGGGCGTGATCCTCCTCCTCCTCCTCCTCCTCCTCCTCCTCCTCCTCCTCCTCCTCCTCCCTCCTCCTCCCTCCTCCCCATTCCCTCCTCCTCCCTCCTCCTCCTGCTACGCAGCACCTACGCCTGCACCTACGCTGCACCACGCCAGCACTTGATATGTTTCATTTGTTGTGTCCGTGCCGCGCTACTACGCGATCGACAGCGATATATGCTGCGCGCTACGCGCGTCCTGACGAAGTCGCCATTCTTTCGCTGTGTGACCCTCTGATAGGTTGTGTGCGTCCTACGCCGTGCCCAACTCTGCACTCATATATTCCACACGCTGCGCGTGGCCTGACAATGTACACCCATCGGCTAGCTGTGGCAATCTGATGTTCCGTTCGTATATTCAATACGCTGCGCGGCCCATGCCCGCTGTTTGCTCGCTGGTGATTTCGATGCTGCCTCATTCTTTCATTGTGTGTGATTCAGGTGTTGTTGAGTTCGTGCTCCGCCTCGACACGGTCAACGTAGCACCTACGCCAGCACCTACGCCAGCACCTACGCCAGCACCTACGCAGCACTACGCCAGCACTTGCCATACTCTGTTGAGTTTGTGCCGACCTACAACGTGCTCGACAGTAATATATTATCCACGCTACGCGTGCCCTGTCGACCGAGGGTCAGTCCATGTTGCCTTGTGAGTTCGGTCAGGCCAGTCCGAGTGTGATTTGTGCTTGTTGTGTGCGAGCCGACCTACGCCAGCCGACTCTGCATTATATTCCACACGCCTCGCGTGGCATAACGGCTGAGGCGCTCGCTCGCAGGCAACTTGTTATGGCCTCATGCTACCACAGCGTGAGGTATCAGATGCTTGTTGTGTTCGCGACCGCCACGTCACGGCCGACGCAGCACAGATATCTGTCGGTGGTGGTTGCGACGTGGGCCTACCTGGCCCCGACTCTGACACCAAGGTCTGAGTCTGCGGTCCGCGGGTCGCCTATTGCAGGTTGCCCGCGCCCGCCGTCGCCGCCCCTGCTGCCCCCCCCCTCCGCTCCTGCCCCTCCCCTAGGTCGCTGACCTGTAGGAAACCCTGGGAAAAATCATCCCTCCGCCTCCTCCTCCTCCTCCTCCTCCTCCTCCTCCTCCTCCTCCCTCCTCCCTCCTCCCTCCTCCCTCCTCCCTCCTCCCTCCTCACTCCTCACTCCTCACTCCTCACTCCTCCTCCTCCTCCTCCTCCTCCTCCTCCTCCTCCTCCTCCTCCTCCTCCTCCTCGTCCTCCTCCTCCTCCTCCTCCTCCTCCTCCTCCTCCTCCTTTTCCTCCTCCTCCTTCTCAGGGCCGAGCGGTCCACGCGGTGTCAGAAGCACCGCCGGCGTCGCCACGACACGGACCAGCCGCGGGTCTGACTACCCCTGCCTGTAGTGGCACTCGGCGGCGGGCCCGAGGGGGAAGTCCCCCAGCCTTCTCTTCTGAGGAGTTCCCTGAGCCCCGAAGACACTGAAAACTTGTCATGAGGCGCGAGGGATTCAGAGAAGTCCCGCCGCCTTTGAGAAGGCCCTCTCCTTCTCACCTCCCTCTTCGCTGACCGCCGAGTCAAGGCTTCGGGCTGCATAGACTGCCCCGCCAGGTAGCCCCCCAGCTGGCCTCAACAGGCCCCCCGAGCGGTCTCAACACCATGGCGCCGTCTCCAGCGGCGCTCATGTGGCGCTCGGCGCCCCAGGGTTGGGGGCGTGAGACCGCCCTGGGCTACTTGGGGGGCCTGCTGAGGCCAGCCGCGGCTACCTGAGGGGGGGGACTATTCGCCCTGAGGTCCGGCGCTGCGAAAGAAAATGCAATATCGCACAAATCCTCGACCAGAGCCCTGGACCCTATCTTTCTGCAGCATTACTCGAGCCGGATCGATCCGTGAGGGTCCTGGGGCCCGATTAACACAAAATCGCCTGTTGTGAAAAATGCCACGCTGTGCGCAAACCCGAAGCCTTACCAGCTGGTGGATCCCTTCTGGAGGTGCTCGGGCCGACATACTACCCACGTCCCCTCTCCCAAGGGTCAACGTCCCGAGCCTTTCCCAGCGGAGCGACAAGCTATCCGCTGGCAAGGCATCGTTAGCGTGTCGCCAAAGCCGCCGCGACGCACTGCAGAAAATCCTGACCGTAAGTGCCCCTGCTCGTGGATTGCCTCTGGAGGTGCTCGAGCGCGGCACCGAGATACAGCAGCAGTTCGAGCTCCAGCCGCGGCGGCTGGCCTTCCTGCACAGCCTCGTCGCCTCCGCCTATCGGCACAAGTGGCGGCTGCGCGGGCGCCTTCTGTCGAAAAAGAATACACCCCAACGCCGACCCAACATTTGAATTCACAAGCACCATGGGAAGCAATTGCAGCATCAGCAGCAGCAGCCACATCAGCAGCAGCCACATCAGCAAAGCTGACCGAGGCCTCGGATAGCGTAATCCTCCTGACCGGGTAAGAACCCCTGAATGCTGAAGCATCGTCAGGGAACACTTGCATACATCCAAGCTTTCGGAGCTCCGCGCAGATCTCTTGGATCGGCGCTGGGCCCCCTGGCGGCGCCTCTAGCGCCGCCCCTGGCGCGCTCCGCGTGCCAGGGAGGGGACGGTCCAGTGCCGATTCGAGAAATCCGCGCGGAGCTCAGAGAGATGCAATGGTTTTGCTCATCTTCACTTCGCTTTAGCCTCCCATTCAAGTAATGTTCTATGGTGATGTCTCTTCGCTGCTCTTGGCGCGCTTGCAAACGGCACGACACAATTCACGTATCAGCGTCGCCGAAGAGCCGCGCCACTGCACCACGATGTTGTTCATGTGGTGTTCCCTTGCTTCTCATTGGGGAGGTGACAATACACCGACCTCCCCAGGCCTCCAAGCGTCGCGAGAAACGGCACGACGGGCGGCAACTCCCTGCAAAACCTCAGCCCCGAAAGGCCTGGTCTGGGCCCAGCATGGGCCGTCACAGAGCGACCCGCGACGGAAAGCTGGCCCTGGCGGTGGGGTCGAGGGCTTCGGGGGCCCACGTCGTAACAAAGACACGGGGCCGCAATTCTTCATCACGGTCGAGTTTGCTTTCATTCGGGCCCAGGATCTTCACGGCTCTATCCGGCTCGAAACATGCTGCAGAACGAAGGGGCTCAGGGTTCCGGTCGAGTTTTGTCACATGATGCCGCCGAAATCGGTCGCCCATCGTGGCCCCCCATCGTGGCTCTTCATCGTGGCCCCTCGTCGTGGTCCCCGGTCGTGAGTTGTGTGAAGTTGTTTAGGGTCTTTTGGCACAAGGGTGTCAGCTATTTTCGGCTTTCGCAGGTTGTCGCTTGTTCGGTTCCTCCTGGGCGGCGGCTCGGTGTCACTCCAGCATTCCTGCACAGACTCCAGGCGCACCTGCTTGGCCCAGGTGCGGCCTGCAAACGAAGCTCCAGGCCGTCTCATCTCCGTCGTCGTTTGGGCTACTCGGGTTCAAAGCCGTGGGATGATCATCTGCGCCTGGTGGGGCTCTCGTGAATGGTTCGGTCGCTTTTCCGGGATGCAGAATCAGGATTGCGCACGAGCGATTCAAACAGTATCAGGGCTACCGCAATGATATACCACAGTAGGCAGGTTGTCTGGCACGAAAGCCATTGAATCAACCCTCGCACCAACACCGCGATGGAAAAGCCAAGCGGGCCCCACAGGTACCAGAGCGTGGAGCATCGAATGAACGAGCTGCAGAAGCTACTCGATGACTATAACGTGGAGCAGATTGCCGCCTTCTTCGACGAGCCCGTCGACTGATGGGCGCGGAGATGGCGCGCTGGAATTGTCCGCAGCCGACGGGGAGTGTCAGAGGCGCGCGATGCGTGATCGGCTCTCCCCTTGCGGGCTGTGCCTGTTGCGGCCCCACGGGCCACTCCTGGGGCCGCCTTTGGGGGGTGAAGGCGTACGCCTCGCCTGACCTACCATCGCCGCGGCTGCCAGAGCTGCGAAGCAGCATGTCACAGTACGGTGCAGGCCTTCCTCCTTGGACTCTCCCCTTCGATAGTTAGTCGGCGGGCCAGCCAGGGGGGGGGGGCAGTGAGAAGGGGCGGGCCTTCTCAGGAGGCTCGGAAGTCCCCCGGCCGTCTGAGAAGTTTCCTAGGCCTTCTCCGAAGACGCAGACAATGTCCGGGAAGGCGCCAGGGGGGGCGAGCCAAGCGTGGTCGGAGCCCCCCGCGGGAAGGCGCCCCCCGCGGCCACAGGCTTGGCATCGTTCGGAGGTGTGCATTTTCTTCTCGGCGACGACCCCCGAGGAGCATCTTGGATCATCTTGGATGCACGGGGAATGGACGGCCGAGCGATGGCGAGTAGGTGAAGCTCGATGCGGGGCATGATCCGCACGAGGGGTGCGCCAGTAGGAGTGGCGGGGCGCCGTACAAACTTGCCCACTGGTGCCGCAGGTGGAGCTCCGTACGTTTGTGCTGTGGGGTGTACCGGCATGGGAAGAGCGCCGGCATGCGAGCTTGCCCACTCGGGGCGCAGGTGAATTTCCCTGTTGGGGCTCGAAACGTGCGAAGGGCGTGCCAAAATGGGCGAGGGCAGCGTGGGGAGGACGAGAAAGATGGGGGGAAGGATGAGGAGCGAGGAGGAAGAGGTGCCGCGCGGAGCTTCGTATTTCGAGAACGCACCAACATGGATCAAGGCGCGTGGGTTAGCGACGGGTCCTGTTTCCATGCGATATCGGCGTGCTCCGTCGCCGAATCAGGCTGCATTGGCGCAATAATTCTGGGGGTAAGCTCCCCGATCCGTCGATCTGGCGCCCACGCGCCAGATCCACGGATCCATAATCAATCTCAGCGTGCGCCCGAGTAGTCGAGATGAGGGCCCAACATCGCAGCAGGCCTCGGAGATATCACAGATCATGATGCATAGGAACTTCGGACGCCCGCGGACGGCTTCTCCGCCAGCGCGCGACACCCCCTCCCTGCAGTTTCCTCCCCTGCGCGGCGCCGAGGGCGCAGCCCAGGGGACGGCGGGAGGGACCTCGCGCCGGCGGAGGGATCGCCCCGAGAGGTCCGACACGAATGTCCATCAGAAAGCGGCGGGGCTCATCAGAGTCCCTCGCGCCCTCTGCGAAGTCTCCTGTGTCGTCGGGGAAGGCTCCGATACCTTCTCGGGCCGGGCGAAAGGGGGGGATTGGGAAAGGGGGGGTTACGAAATTTGCTGCATGCAGCTGGTTTCGGCCCCGCCGGGCCCATTCCTCGATACATGGGCGCCTCCGGCGCCGGGAGGCGCCGGGAAAATCAGCTACGTGAGCTGATTCTCAACCCCCCCCTTTGCTATCCCCCCCTTTCGCCCGACCCGACCTTCTGAGAAGACCCGGGGTGTTTCCGAGCCTTCTGAGGAGGCCCTCTCCTTCTCGTTGCCGCACTGGGCGCGCCGCCGACACGTTTGTGCGGACTCGTGTTCCTCTATTCTCCCCTCTGTTGCTCTCCAGCTCCCAAAAGGCATCCGACGTCGTGATGGCTTCCATCCGCGGGCCCCAGAGCTCTCGACCCCCCCTTTCTTCCAGGGGAGAACTCGCGTCCAAGGCAGCCCTGGGGGGGAGCAGGCCCCAGAGATCGGGGACCTGGAGACGAGGGTTCATGCAAGCGGAGGTCAGCCAGAGCGCCAGATCTTGCAGGATCCTGCAGAGCCAGGGGTGCACCAACCTGGGCTTGCGCGCAGGATCTTGAAGGATCCTGTCGGATCCTGCAAATCCCGACTTACCCGGTTTGTTTTGATCCGGGCCTGTCGATCCCCGAAGAGAGCCCGAAACAAAAAAGAGAGAGAGAGAGAGAACGCTGCGGCACAATTCTGTTCGCGGCGCCTGGAGGTCTCGGGCCCCCCAAACATTGCGGTGACCACGCCATATGTCAGTGGGGATTCTGGGTGGCCTCACGGTTAAGGGACGTGGGTCGTTATCCGAGGATGTCTCGCGCCATTGGGGCATCCGAGCTTCGTAGGCCCTGGAAACGGCAGGGCCGTTTTTTGTACCGTTTTCGTATGAGCGTCTCTTGGGAATGGAAGCGGTAAGAAAAGGCGACCGGAAACGGCAAAAGAACAGCTCCAGGACTGGAAAAGGAACCGGAACCAGAAGCAAAAACGACGACGGAACTGGCAAACACACGGTGACGGAACTAGCAAGAACACGGCAAAACATCGGAACCGGTACAACAATTTCCTTGTCGCTTCCAGGGCCCACTAAGCCTCCGAGGTCCACAAACCGTTCGATGGCGGACCGTGCGGCAAGGTCTCCTGGGATTTCGAGGTCACCGCACAGTCCGTCAGCGCACCGTCTTGGGAACCCCATGTAGGTCTGGGGCCTTCCTTCCTGGGCGTCGTTATGTGCTCATGCTGCTGCTGCTCCCGGATGGGGGCCCCGGGCGTCCGTCGGGCGTCTCAGGGGTCGGGGCGCCAGGCCTTTTTGGAAAACTCGAAGGATACAGGTTGCCATCACTGCCTGGCGCACCCCCACCTCCCCCAGCTCCAGGAAAGAATCATGACATGGCATAAACACTCGGAGGTCCGCGCAAATTTCTTGGATCCGCGTTGGGCCCCGTTCCCTGGCACGCGGAGCGCGCCAGGGGCGACGCCGGAGGTGCCGCCAGGGGGGTCCAGCGCCGATCCGAGAAATCCGCGCGGACCTCCGAGTTGTTATGTTTATGTCGTTTTTCGTTCCCATCCTCCCTTCTCACTCCTCACTCCTCCTTCCTCCCCCTCCTCCTCCTTCTCCTCCTCCTCCTCCTGCTCCTCCTGCTCCTCCTCCCCCTCCTCCTCCTCCGCCTCCCTCTCCTCCTCCTCCTCCTCCCTCCTCCCTCCTCCCCCTCCTCCTCCTCCTCCTCTTCCTCCTCCTCCTCCTCCTCCTCCTCCTGCTCCTCCTCCTCCTCCCCCTCCTCCTCCTCCCCCTCCTCCTCCTCTTCCTCCTCCTTCTCCCCCTCCTCCTCCTCCTCCTCCTCCTCCTCTTCCTCCTCTCCTCCTCCTCCTCCTCCTCCTCCCACCTCCTCCAGCTCCCCCAGCTCGCCCTGTGCTGCTCGGGCGTGCCCCGCGCGCGCGAGCTCGCGGCACCGCCGCTGCCTGCGCAGCGCCGCCCAGGGAGGCGCTGGGGGCTGGCCGAGCGGAAAGGGCTCCCCCCGCCTTCCTGCACGATCTGCGCGTCGGTGCGGGCACCGCGCGTCCATGTCGTTCCGGGGCGGGTCCTCCTCCTCCTCCTCTGCCTCCTTCTCCTCCTGCTCCCCCTCCATGTGCATCTCCTCCTCCTCCTCCCTCCTCCTCCTCCTCCTCCTCCTCTCCTCCCTCCTCCTCCTCCTCTCCTCCCCTCCTCCCCTCCCTCCTCCCTCCTCCCTCCTCCCTCCTCCCTCCTCCCCTCCCTCCCTCCTCCCTCCTCCCTCCTCCCTCCTCCCTCCTCCCTCCTCCCTCCTCCCCCTCCCTCCTCCCTCCTCCCTCCTCCCTCCTCCCTCCTCCTCCCTCCTCCCTCCTCCCTCCTCCCCCTCCTCCTCCTTCTCCTCCTCTCCGCCCGTCGGAGGGGCAGGAGGGTCCATCCACGATTTTTGGGCCCTTGATCAGGGGGGGAGGGGGGAAACAGGCACAGGGGGGATGCATCGGCACCCAATCTCAGGTGATCGCAGACATGGATCAGGGGTGCGTGAAGTAGCGCGAAGGGTCCCGCTTCCACGGGAGATCGCGGAGTTCCGCTGCCGAGCGAGGCGGCACTGGCCGCATTTTCGGGAGGAGGAGCGTCCGGTTTCAGCCACAGACTCCGCTGCGTCAAGCACGAGCTCCGCCGCGTCAAGCACTGACACTGCCCCAGCGCTGCAAGGCGATAAGGGATCGATCGGGTTGTTCTTGGTGTCGTGGTCGTATCCATGGCACGCAGTGCGATTGTTTACGAGACGAGGCGTGGCTGATCTGGTCTTGCCAGGGGCCCTGTCCTCGTCATCTCCCTTGTTCTCCCTCTCTGTCTGCTCCTCCACTTCCCCTCCCCATCCACACCCTCCCTGCAGTTACCCCCCCCCCTCTGGGCCAGACTCGAGACCAGGAGCAGGCGAGCTCGAAGGAGGCGAGGGAGAGAGAGCCGGCACAGGAGCTGCTTGGAGGCGCAGGTCGGCTCTCGCAGGGCGGCCACGCGTGGGTCGGAGCTCGGGCCCGTCCACCGTGGCGGGCCCGCGTGGGACCTCGGTTGACGCGGTGCGCCCTCCTCCTCCTCCTCCTCCTCCTCCTCCTCCTCCTCCTCCTCCTCCTCCTCCTCCTCCGGTGGGCCTGGCGTCGCAGGGCCGGCCTGGAGGAGCCAAGCGCATCGTCTTCTGTCGCTGCTCGTGGCTTCGAGGAGGGGGGAGTTCCCCCCTCTGGCAGAGCATCGGGCGGAGGACGACGAAGAGGAAGGCAGGAGGGGGCGGGAGGGGGGAGGAGGAGGCGAGGAGGAGGTGGTGGGAGGGGAGGGCTGGCGGGAAGAGGGAGGGCGGGAGCAGGAGAAGCAGAAGGCTAGGAGGACGGGGGAGACATCACTGCGACGCCATGGAAGAGGACATGCGTTTTTTAGATGGCCTTGCTCGACCATGGGGCCACTCAGAGGTGTTAGAGCACCCGTGCACACCTCCTGAACGTCGAGCATCAGAGGCTAGCATCTTCGGGAGCCGGTCGCTTCTCTCCGGGAAGGATGGCGCAGAGGAGGACCAGGGCACCCAGACCTCCGACGTCCTGATTTTTTCCGGAACGTCGACACCTAAGGTCTCGACCCATTGCCCAGCACCAGTTTTGCAGCCTGAGTTGTCTCTGAACGG